AACTTCTCACTGCTGCGCACTCCATAAAGCTGTCTCTTATACACATCTAAATGTGTATAAGAGAAAGCCCCCCCCCCTTCCTCCTCCCCCTCTTGACCCTTGTTGATGTCCATTTCTGTGAGTCATCCTTGAGCAGGGGCCATCGTGTTAATCTTCACCATACTATACCAATTTTAACGTATGTCCCTGAGGACAGGGGCTAACCCCCTTTATTATTATTATTATTAAAAAACAAACAGTTAAAAAGAGGAGAGTGAAAACCACAGTTAAAGAGAGGAGAGTGAAAACAACTGTCTGAGGCTACCGTCGTCACCCGAACAGAACACCTGGCAGTCATTATCGCTGCATCTAGACTGAACTTTCCCCAAATACGGATATATTGACTGGGCATTCGATCAGGTTAAGATGAAAGGGTTGCTGTTGCTCCCGCCTGATCTTCCTTGTTCCCTCCCTTGCTTGCTCTTCCTGCTGCTGCAACACTGCCACCATTGCCACCTTTGCCGACACGGCTCCGTTGAGGCTGCTCTGCTGCTGCTGCTCGTGCTCTGCTCCTACGGCTTGCAAATGAAGGTTAACGTTTGTTTATTTCACTGCAGAACGGCTGACATTTGACATGTGAGCATCGTTTACACACTTTTACAGGTACATACAGGCTCAGAGAGAGAGAGAGAGAGAGAGAGAGAGAGAGAGAGAGAGAGAGAGAGACTCAGAAGGCCTCGCTCAAGTGCAGGCAAGCTCAGTTGCTTGAGCACGTAAGTGGCACCGAGGAGGTCGTGGGTTCGATACCCACTGTAGTCCTTTCCAATCTGACAAGTTTCTTACTCGTCTCGGGGTCCCAAAAATGCACTTGTCACTTCTCGTGTGGGTTCTGAATCTCTAATCCTTACCATTGTTTGCTTCTTCAAGAATAAGATGGGTACAAAAAAAAAAAAAAAAAAAGAAGAAGAAGAAGACGACGGGTGACACAAACAGAACCCCTACCGCTGTGTACTGAACTACTGTCTATCACCGGAATAAGAGCGCCCTACTGTCATCACCTGAATAGAGGGCCCGGTCCGTATCACCGTATCTGGACTGAAAGTTGCACCAAATATGGTTACAATGACTGGGTGTTCTATTCGGGTCTTCGGGGGAAGATGGCAGCTGCTGTACCTAGTGATCTTTTAACGAATATAATAATTGGAAGTCATCGCAGTCTAAGTTGTCGAACGAATCTCTCTCACGTTCAACAATTACTTTAGTACTGCACTGCAGTACCATTTAAGTCACTGTGCCGTACTCTGTATGCATGAAGCTTGAGTAAATGTCATTAACAGTAAGTGTAGTATGTTAAAAAAAAAAAAAAAAAAAAAAAAAAAAAAACAGTAAGAGTAATAAGCGGGCAAACAGTCAGGACTTGTGCAGCACCACTTTTGAAAGTTTTGATTGACTTCCAAGTTATGGGTGCTTTTTTCAAGTGAACCAAGGGCTGGGAATAGGAAGTATTATTCCAAAAAGATCAAATATGATTATATGACTGTCGTGTGAGTAAATGATGTACGGGACGGTGGGCCCGGTTCCGAGCATTTATTATATATAATTTAAAGAGAAGTACTAGTTAAACTCAAAAAAAAAAAAAACTGTTGTAAAAGAAGTGTTTGCACCATGGTTGCTATTGATTGAGCTGTATATGGTACTGACACTGTGGTCTTGTCTGTGTGCAGGGGCAGGAGCTGCTCTCTCGTCCAACCTTGGATTGCGGTAGGTGGGTCAGGTTCCGAGGCCCTGAAGGGGTCATTTTAGGTGTTAATAACCCTTTGGGGGTTAAGTATTAAGGGGTTAGCAGCCCTCTCGGGTTCAATTGAGGGGTCAACAGCATTTTGGGACACTGGATCTGAACCAGTGCGGTTCATTTCAGGGCCCTTGACGACCTTTTCAGGGGATTAGGAAGCCTCCGAGGTGCTACCGATTGACCCCTTGGGGTGAACAACCTGTTAAATTAGGTCACTTGGGGGCTTGAGAGGCCCTTTTTTTTTGGGGGGGGGGGGGGGGCGCGGTCAGGATCACTGGCAGTGGTAACCACCAGACCCTTCTTCTGGGTACGAAGAGTTTAGTTTCAATGGCAGCCACAAATTCGCTTGCTATACAGTCCATGGCGTCCTACACCACGTCATCCCTTCGGCTACCGTCCAGTCCCGCCGCCTGCTCTTCCAGCGTCTGTTCGTCAAATGCCAGCACGATGTTCACGATCAGGACAGCACCTAGAACACCCTTGATTCCTACTACTGCGGCAGTGTCGACGGTGGCAGGACATGGAGCCGGCGCATCGGAATTCATGGGGAGAAGAAGCACGGGGAGTCCACAAGTGAGAATACACACGGACAGCTCAAGGGTGCCGCTAACAACAAAGAGTCAACCCTTGCAACCTGTGCGTGCAGCGAAGGGCAAGCAGCGGTTTCGCAGACCACCTGGCTATCAACAACCAAGGGTGCCTCAGCTTCCTAATTTGGAGGAGGATGGTAATTCCAAGTTTATCCTATTCATTCGGTCGAAGAACGTACCTCAGTGGTATCCACTCAGCGTTGTGACCGGCGGGTCGCAAGCGAACATTTTGACGACCATGATGGAGAGTAAGTTCGGAAGGAAACTTTACCAAAGCACGTTGACGAGAAATGTTGCAGCTGTGATCTACAGGGACGAAAAAGAGGTGCAAACGACGGCAATTAAGCAATGGCCGGTGTTGAAAAATGCAACAGCATTTGAATACGGGTACAAAGTGGCAGACAAGAACAACCCGCGGGCCTCTTTCATGGCGTCCAACGTGATCAAGATACCTCCCGAGAGTGAGCTGAAGACAGTGGCGGGCAGAGTCAAGGATTTCTGGACTAATCTAACCTCAGGTGGAAGTTCGAGTGAAGGAAACTCGGACAAACCGAAGAAAAGCGGCGGGAAAAAGTAGAGGACCCCTAAGAAAAGTGGCGGGAAAAAGTAGAGGAACCCTAAGAAAAGCGGCGGCCCGGGAAAAAGTAGAGGAACCCTAAGAAAGCCGCGGGAAAAAGTAGGAGGTACTCTGAGACTGTGTTTTGTCATGTTCGCTAATACACAACCCCGGGGAAAAAAGCGCATGACTTTGCCAGACTGTTTCATTGGACTTTCACCGATATGTTAGGAGGTTCAACCCCCCTACTCTGTGTGTGTGTGTGTGTGTGTGTGTGTGTGTGTGTGTGTGTGTGTGTGTGTGTGTGCGCGTGTGCGTGTGTGTTTTGGGTGTGTACTCGTACGCACGCCTGGTCGCTTTACTCCGCGCTGGTGTGTGTGTGAGTGTGTGTTTTGGGTGTGTGCTCATACACACGCCTGGTCGCTTTACTCCGCGCTGGTGTGTGTGTGTGAGTGTGTGTTTTGGGTGTGTGCTCGTACGCACGCCTGGTCGGCTTACTCCGCGCTGGCTGAGCTCCGGCATAATGGCCGGCACACTATGGAATCTTGGCAGGGATGGTGAAGTCTGTCAACGATGGAACGTGTTATGCAGTGCAGCCGAGGCGCTTGTGAGTGCCTCCCAGCCGTGCAAATGGAGCAGTTGCCATGCATTGTGAATGAAAAGTATGAGGAATATATAGGCTGGAGGGCATGGGGGAGGTAGGAGGGCAGACAATACATAAGCACAGAGGACAAGGAAGGACGAATGCTGGAGCGCACGGGGGAGGTAGAAGGACAAACATCATGCAAGCACACCCAGCAGACAAACCAGAAAAAAATACAAGTCCCAAGAAAGTTGGACCGAAAAAATAAAAGATGATGATGATAGATTGTTTCGCTGGAGTTGCACCAACTCGTCAGGAGGCTGAACCCTTGACAATCTGCGAATGCCCGTATTGATGGTCTGGGTCATGAATCATTTGACCCATGTTGAAGGCAGACTGTCCCTAGGGCCCAAGGGGAACATAGCAGCGGGCAGCAACCCTGTGGAGCACCAGGCAACGCAGAAGAGGCAACACGGCTGCTCAGTGCCAGAAACGACGGCAAGGAATGACACAGCACCCAGGACTTTCAGCACGGCAACCACGCAGTGAAGCGCCAGGCAACACCACCAAGGCAACCACACTGCAGGGGACGACAGGGCAAGCGGACAAGCAGCAGAGCAACCATGCAGTGAAGCACAAGGCAGCACCAACACGGCAACCGAACTACAAGGCGCGCAAGCGGACAAGCAGCAGAGCAAACATGCGGTGATTCAGAAGCACAAGGCAGCACCAACACGGCAACCGAAGTACAAGGCACGCAAGCGAAGGACACGAATGGCAAGGCCACTGGAAGGGTGGCAAGGCAGCAGAGCAGCAATGCAAAAGGCAACACCACAACCCCGCCACACCACGCAGCGAAGACAGCAGCTTGCCAAGAACGACCTGCGAAGCAAGTGGAATGGGCAGCAGGGCCGTGGCAGAGTGCAGACGAGGCAGTCCACACATCCAACATGAAGCAAAGCGGCACATCACCTACTCACATCGAGGGTGAGCCCCGCACACTGTTGGTTCCCACCACCCACCGAGCCCGGGAGACACTCCGACGAGCATCCATCATCACCCACAGGCAACACAGACATCCCGAACCGAGCGTCCCTAAGGGTGCAGTAGGCACCCCAAATGAGGAACCACCGACTGTTTGGCACTACTTGAAGGTGCTCAGTTGGGCATACAAAAATACTCAGAAAAAAGTAGGCGGAAAAACAAACATACCAAAAACTGATTTTGTGTGTGTGTGTGTGTGTGTGTGTGTGTGTGTGTGTGTGTGTGTGTGTGTGTGAGAGAGAGAGAGAGAGAGAGAGAGAGAGAGNGTGTGTGTGTGTGTGTGTGTGTGTGTGTGAGAGAGAGAGAGAGAGAGAGAGAGAGAGAGAGAGAGAGAGAGAGAGAGAGAGAGAGAGAGAGGTGCTGTTTACACGACTTTGCAGCCATGACTGCCTGTGCAGCTCCGGCTCGAGTGGCAGTTCTGCTGTAGCTGTTGCTCCTACTGGTAACTTTTCTTATGATCGTTTAACTTGTTGTTTTTTTATTTACTGAGGTGAGATTTGCTGAGGTGATAAGGTGGCTGGATAGGTGATAGCTGTCTCCTAAACCGCGAGTTCATGCGAAGCAGAGGACTGCTCTAAGACTTGCGAGTTTACGTGGCAAGAGCATTTCTATTTGGTTGGGGCAGGTAGCAAAAGCTGCAGGATACTTTGAAATGGCACAGCTGCAGGCTCGCGAGCTTTGAAACGTAGTTTCGTCGACTTTAAGTTAGGTTTGTGTGAACCGGTGGCTTGTGTGAACTGGTGGTGTAAGTGTAAGGGTTGTTCGAAGACACGAACTCTGAGCCTGCAACTGCACCATTTCAAAGTAGCCTGCAGCTGCACGTGGACAGCCAGTCTGGCTAAGTTCTCCTTCTGTTCTTCGGTTCCAACTTCCCATTTGTTTCTGGTGTACTTTTGAATTCTTTTTACTTTTCTACTTTCTGCCCCATGGGTGCGCGGAAGGTCATCAAACGCTTGAGAATGTGAGAGTATCGGCATGCTATATTATCCTGCGGCACGATCATGTGGGATGTCGTCCATTAAGAGGGGGAGGAAGAGGAAGAGGGGGCGAGGGAGATTCACATTGCTTCCAAGTGCCCTGCCCAAACTGCTGCTATTTCGGCAAACGGTCGAGGATACCCAATCGTATTCTTTGGTATGTTTACACCTTTTTCTTCCCTTGCAATAAACCTGAGCATTCCATCACATCCTTTCCATTGTGTTCTTCATTTGCTCATGTCTTTTAGGGATGGGGTGGGATGGGACAATTGTCATCCCCTTTACTTCTGCTGATTATTCTGTGTAACCCCTTCTTCCAAATGGGGTGACCTCAAACCTCAACTACCCTTTTCCCCTGAATACGACATACGATCATTATCGTTGCATGCGACATACGATCATTATCGCTGCATCCGGACTGAAAGTTGCCCCAAATACAGCTATAATGACCGTGCAATCTAGTCAGGGGAAGATGGAAGCTGACCTCATCACAATTTTTTTTTATTTTTTTTTCAAAACCCCTGGAGTCTTTGCTAGGAGAGGTGATAAGAGCATCCCCTCCTAGCAAGAGACCTGGGCGCTCCGATCTATTGGTGGGGAGCAACGCCTGCTGGAAAACGGGTCCGGCGTCCCATTGTAGCGGCTACTTTTGCCGATACCTTCCATGTGCTGTTTGTTAACCCACTGCTTCCTCACTTGGGCTTGTCGGTCCGTGGTCTTGCCTGAGGACCTTCTCACTCTGCACCGTACCATTGCATGTCGACCACTGCCAGCTGGTGGGGTGGAAATGGGTCGGGAAAATCTGCGGATGGTCAGTGGGATCTCCTGTCCCACCGTAGTCCAGTCTCTGAAGCTAATAGAGTAGTCTCTCCTGGACTCGTCCTGGTTGCATTCCTGGGCGGGTTTACCACCATCGGACAAATGCGATGCAGCCCCCGTTCTCACTGCCCAACCAGTCCCCCGAAAATTGCTGAATTGCTTGTGTTATGTCCTTCGATGCATGAAACAGCTCAAGTTGGTTTTTGACTTTTTGCCACTGTACCCTGAGTTCTTGTTGGATGTATTGTTTTATCATGTCTCTTACCTCTTCCCCGGCTATGCGGACCCCCTCTATTGCATGGATAAAACGTTTTCTCCAGAGGGCCCACATGACTGCTCTCCTCCCTAACTTGAACATATTGTTTTCGAAAGTATTGTCAGTGGGGGAGGTCCATGCCTCGCATAATATGGCTCTCCAGTCCCATGGCCAGTTGGAGTCGGTGGCCAACCGTGTCCAGATTTTGTCCCACCATCGCCATGTAAGCACGGCCCCCAGACACTGCATGAATATATGCTCTATGGTTTCCGGAATTCTGCGGGAGGGGAAGGTGGTGTGGCACGACTTACACCACGGTAGCGTCCCCCCCTTCTGCTCTAGATATGTACGATCGATCAGCCAGTCGTTGGTGGGCAGGCAGCGATGTTCCATCTGCCATTGTAGCGGGGCCATCTTTGCTGGCCTGGACCTTGTGGCGGTGAACCATCGAATGGGGTGGATTGCCTCAGTTCCTACATTCAGATGACTCAGAGACCTCCATCGAGCTTTCACCGTTTCTTTTATGTTCACCTTTGGTCGCAGCAGACGATAGGTAGCCTTCACCGTTAAGGTCTGCAGCTTTAAACTCTCCCCCGACCTGCGTTTTCGTGGGGGGGACCACTGCTATTCCTCGGAATCAAAGGGGAGCTCAGCCACGTGGGTGTCTGGCTGGTATACGATCCACACATCTTTGTCCTGTAGCACACGGATCCTGTGCAGGTCAGAGTTTCTCCACCATCTCACCATGTCTGGGGTGTACCGGGTGAGCACATTGTCCTTACCAATGTGGAAGAGACTGGTCAAGGTTCCGTTCGCTCGTACCTCTGCCACGTTGCCTACACTCTCAGGATCGCCCGGGCTGTTACCCAGTCCCCTTCTTCCAGCCGCGGCCCTTTGCACATCACAATTCCAGCCGCGGCCCTTTGCGCGTCACAATTCCAGCTGCGGCCCTTTGCGCATCACAATTCAACCCCCCCCCCCCCCCCCCCCCCCCCCCCCCCCCACCCGGCGGAAAGATTTAAGTCCTGACAGTTTTCTTAGAGGCATACCCTGCGTTTTCCACAGGCCCTTGAGAACAAAGCACTATGGTGAATAGGATTCCCCTCCCCCTCCCCCCCTTTCCCCCTTTCCCCTGTTTTTTCCTGCCTTAGATTTGCAAAGCTCGCGCCCCCTACCTCCCCCACCTCCAAACTGCTAGGTGCAAAGTCAACGGCACCACAAAAACCATCAAGCAGCATTGTTAAAAAATGACATCAACAAGCCTCACGCAACAAATCAATCACCTCTAACTCTGAGCCATTTTTCTTTCTGATTCAGTTTTTTTTTTTTTTTTTTTTGTTGAAAAGGTAAATGGTGGTGTGAGCCACAAGTGGTTAAAGGGAACCCAGTTTTCAGTTCCCAGAATCCTGCCCAGCAGGGCCAAAGCTGAGATTAGGGTTGGGGTGGCAATTTGTTGTGTTTTTTTTTGTGTTTTTTTTTTTTGCCTTTTTTTTGTTTTTTTTTTTATCGTCAAAGTTGCTGATGCCAAATTTGGTGTCTTTGCGCCGGACCGCTTTTTTCTTGGCAGGGTGTGTGGGGCGTTTCCAGGCTTGACGAGGGAAGAGACACCGGTACCGGTGGTTTACGCTTGCGCCGAGTACCAGAAAATTTATGAGATTCTCTTTCCAATGATACAAAGCTAGAAACAGTGTTCTTATCCGGATGACGATCTGCTCCTTCCGTACTTTTTTTTCTTCTTCTTTTCCCTTTTCCCTGAAAGTTTTCCCTTTTTCCTTTTTCTGAAAAAAGGGCGACCGTGACAGCAGCCTTGAGATATGATGTTGTTGAGCTGACTGCAACCAGGTAATCATGTTCATCTCAATTCGCATTCAGATCTACATTTCAGCAGTTCATGGGTGTGGTAGCTGAGCTACGCCCATCATGATTTGATCGTCCTCCCGTCCTTTACCGAAAGGTCATGCAAAATTTGGATTTGTGGATTTCCACCGCCGGTACAGTTCCCAGCAATTCTTCCCGCGACACGACTGCATGCGCACTGCGTCTGGCGGCCGGGGATGAACTGGCCTGCCGCTTCGTGATGAAAATACATACAGGTTAATTACCTCACGTGCACATCCAGTTTTGCCTGGAAGTATTTTTTTCGAAGCGGCGGGCCCGTACATCTTGCCCGACTTCAGAACGCATGCTGCTTCGTCGTCAAAAAATGGCTGGAAAAAGGAAACGGACTGGTGGTTTAAGTCGCACACGCAATTAATTTGGATCCAGAGCTTGCCCGATCGACATGGTTGTCTTGACTTTGTGTCCCAGTAGTCCTTTATGACCCTTCCCTTTTTTTCTTTTTTTCTTTTTTATGCATGCCTGGCCTGCTTGTGGTGGAAACTCTGCATGCATTATTTTTTATGATTTGCAAATCCATGCAGTGCTGGAGAGGCAAGAAGATGAAGTTCCTTGGTCGTTGCATGTGCCCATTTTTTCCCTCGGCTGCTCATAAATTTCTCTGCTAGTAGGCCTAACCACCAATTTTTTGGGATGAACAACCATAAAAGAAGGAAGGAAAGAAATCATTACCAACCTAGGTTACCAGCCGGGCCGCCCGGGTCCCGGGTGGCCAGCCTGTGCAAGGACCAGGGAAGGTCCCAGCAAAAACAAAAAAAAAAAAAAA